GGGACGGTCAAATGAACCGCTTCTAACGCTTAAAAGATCACTCGTAAACTAGAGCACATTTACGACTTTCGGTACTCGGAAAATGAAATAAATAGTTTCAGTTCGTAAGCGATAAAGCGCTAAATTGTTAATCTTGTGTGCGAAGTTGGCCTCGGACGGGATTACATAGCCGGAATTGAACTACAAGAGTTAGTGGAGCTTTTACCGGAAAAACTTTCGTGTACCTATAAAAAGAAAGTTTATTCACACTTAACTCAATCAACATATTGTGACACCTGTTATTTAACAATCCACAACTTTAAGGAGACGCCTCCCATTGTGAGGCATACCTCAGAAACTAAATCAAGCTACATTTTACATATCTGTTTTGGGTATCGTAAAATTAATTGTTTGTTTTTACATTTGAGGCACTAAAAACTTTATTTATATAAATATAACTAACAATAGTACATACCAGGTGAATAAAAAGTATGGAACCAAACGTTTTTTGCTTAAACTATTTATTTTTTGAAAAAACTAATTGATGAGTGCTAAAGTACTATAAAAATGTGATGATTTAACAAGAATAAAATTTTTCGAAATTTCCTTTTATTTTTGAGTTCTACAAAAAAATTATTTTTTTTTTAAATGGCAACCCACTATAAAATCATTTTTCTCATAAAAGCTATACTCTAAGGATTACAACTATCTGCTTTATTTTTAATTTTTTCAAAAATTTTTTTTCACATAAATTGCATTTTTGACAAAAAAAAATCGCATAACTCAAAAACAAAACAAAATTTCATTCTGAAATTACGATCACATTTTTTATATTACTTTAATTTATATTAATTATTATTTTCCGGAGGCAAATGATTAAAAATAAAACCGCTTGGTTCCATACTTTATATTCACCCTGTATATTATGTTAATAGGAGTAAAAGTAATAGTTTATGTGGCGGAGCTGAGCTTACTTTTTACTGTTTTATTCGCAAATGTATTCAGATTAAGAGTAAAGACAAATTAGCAAGTAAATGAACAAAATAACTTAAACGCTTTGAAAGTAAAGAAATCATATCAACGCTTATAAACAAACATCACGGGTCACTATCAAAATTTGTGCTAATATTTTCGAAAGTGTACATTAATTTAACAAGTGCATGATTAGTGCAGTTAGTAGTGCAAAATGTCGAATGCTGATGATGTACAGAAATTGCTGTAGCAGCGAAAGAGACAAGATTGGTGAATGTCAATAATGTCATAATAAAAAAAACAAAATTTTTTATTCTATGCCTGAAAAAAACTTTACTTGCGACATTTAGTCACTTTTGTGACTTTAGCGGGTGAAAATATTGATTGTCTCAGGTAATTCTGATAATTCAAATTTTTTATTTTGTAAAAAGACCCTAAAACTTTGACAAACTAGGTTAGTTGTGTGTGTAAAATGAGGTTTTGTATCTAAAGTTAAATACAGGTGCGCCAGAACACGCGCCCTCAAGAAAAATGCCATGTAAGGTAAGATACCAGGAACATGGAAAACATGTTAAAAAAAATATATCTATAAAAATTTCGAAGTTATGACAGATTAAATTTTGCACTTCGTTTATATTTATTTCTGTTAAAAAAGTAATTTTCCAAGTTTTTTTACTACAGGTTATTAGAAGAGGAAACAAAAAAGCTGTATCCTAAATTGTAACTCTGTTTAATGTTATTTGTGGCTTTTATTTCCAAATATTTTATACCTTTACTAAATAATTATAAAAAGTAAAATTTCAAAAAATAAATGTCAAAATTTTTTCTCTGAGGCGCAAGTTCTGACACCTTGTATATTTGGGAATATGAAAGTAAAAAGTACAAAACAAAATTATGAAAAGCTCAAAATTAAAAGAAAAAAATTTCAGTTTTCAATTAACCAAAATTGTAGTTTACAAACACGGAATTAAACTTAAAGTTTAAAAATAAAAATTTCAAGTTTACTAAGGTTAAGTTAAACTAAGGTTTGGCAAAATTTTGTTTTTCATTTTTTTGGTCTTTACGTATTATCGGTGAGATTTGGTCAGTTTCGGGTGAATCATGTCTTAATTGCATATTTTACGAGTGTCCATTTGGAGCTATAAGTCAGTTCGTCGTGTACATTTATGTTGTTCCACATTCAAAGTTTGGGTTTTGTGTGCGAAAGGAATACAAATGCGTCAAGTGGCGTCGCGCCGCCTGCAATGTTGATGGCGCCACGGCCCAACTTAATGACGTCATCTAGCAGGACGACTTCCGAAAAGCACCCTATCCTATCGAAGGCAATATTTTTCGGTTATTTCGTATCGCAAAATCCATAAAAGCCCTATATATGTACCCATGTTATTTCAATTCCCTACCTTGTGCTTTTTTGTCCTTCTCCTTCCGCGCTCATAAGTCCGGGACTTAATTGTGTTATATTTCATACAGCCGGAAAAAATATTGGCTTAGACGTTGAGAAGGATAAACTTTCATGAAATCCCTAAAAAATATATTGAGCTAAATTATGAGCCACTTGTTCTCTTTGCTGCTTTCGCCCTTTGATCGATAAACAACAATTCGAAGACGGCTTTTTTGGATATTTCTAATTCCGGAATCAAGCGTAATGGCAATAAATATCAAGCGATGCCAACAAGGACAAACATGGCGAATGTTATCCGAGCTGACTTTCTTGATTGCCTATGTTTAAACCCGGTCACGAACCACCGACAAAAGAAAGGTCAAATTGGATTGATTCATAAAAAACTTAATATGGTATTTTATTTAATGGGCTTTTTACCCCTTATTTTGTTTCACTTAGCTAAGTCGAATTTTACGGATAACGGCCGACATATTGATTCCGGTGTTATGGGAGATAAAAGCGACGCTTTTTCTCTCATATCCTGCAAATTTATCGAAGCAAAACTGATTCCAAAACACCTCAACAAAAATTAAATACCTAGACCAGCATCAAACCCTTGCACGCATGATACTACCAGAAAATGGATCGACAATTACTCAATATAGTTGAGGCACTAAATTGTTACACAGATAAATTTACTCTCAATAATGTTGTTTATATCTTTCAACAAAAAGTATAGACCATATGTCTATTGTTACTCAAGACAACAAATATCTTATTGTTATTAAATAACCAATGAAGCAAGCCTAAAAAATAGTATATTATTCAACGAGTGAGAAAGTTGGCTATATTCACAAAGATGAAATTTACGAAACGAGCCGAAGGTAAAAAAAAATATCTATAAGTTTTGAGGGTTTAAAGTTTCCACTTTGACTCTATTCATTTCTGTTGGAAAAATAATTTTCCCAGTTTTTTTGCTATAGGCTATTATTAAATAGATATAAAAAAATGTCAAATGTCAAAAAATACATGTCAAAATTTTTTGACAGAGAATTTTTTAAACATTTTTTTCATATTCCTGGTATCTTACCTTACTTGAAAATTTTCTCTAGGGCGCGAGTTCTGGAGCACCCTGTATATGTACTTACAAAAAAAAAAAAAATTCATAAAAATCGCATATTGAGAACAAGGATTAAGATCTAACCGCAGGAACGAACTTTTCTAATCTTAAATAATGACTGTAATATTTTTTATATATTTTTTTCTTTTTATTATTATTATTTAATTTTCTCCGCAATTGTCTTGAGTAATAATAACTTTTAATTAATTTTTTTTTGTTTTATTGGCATATTGGCATAAATGCGGCACAATTTGTTTTTATATTTGACATTTTTTATGTATATTTAATGATACTGATGATCTTGTATAAGTTTTTTTTTTAATTATTTGGTAATGCCACAAATAACATTAAACGGAGGTACAATTTTAGATACAGATTCTTTTTTCCTCTTTTTGCTTGTGACAAAAACAAAAATAAGTAGAGTAAAAGCACAAAATTTAAACTCTCATAACTTCGAAATTTTAATAGATAGAATTTTGTTACCATTTTTTCCATATTTACAACATTTTTCTCTGGGACGTGAGTTTTGGCGCACCTGGTATACATTATGTGTAAGCAAATTTTTTAAGTTTTGTATAAACCGGTTTTAAATCTAAATAATGAGGCATTATAATTATCAAATCAAATTTTATGAATACACTGGTAAGTTTTTGTTAGTTTAATTTTGTTTATTCTTTTACACAATGAAGTGTATTAGATAAGACATTGAGACAACAAATGCTACAAGGTGCCACTTTTATACCTAAAATTTTGATTTTTGTTCATACTTAAATAAAAGTCTAGACTTGAAAAAAATTAAGGTTTTTTTAGAAAATCTTGATTAACAAAGTTTTTATACGTAATTACTTTTTTCCAACTTACTTTTTCTAATATTCTAGAAAATTGGATAAATAATAAAGAATGCAGACATTAATTGCTTTTCCAGGTTTAGCACAAAACGTCTATCAATTTGTTTTGTAAAAAGAATTTAATAATTTTGTTCAAGTACTGAAAGCTTTTTATAAGACCTCTCTTATAAGTCTCATGGGAAATATAAGATAAAAAATATTTTTTGCCTCATCGCATTCTCTTAAGTTAAATAGCTTTCTGTAAACACTATCCTGTTACCAATATTAGCTTCTTACGTATAGTAAGCAGCTTTATAAATACATTTTAACCTTATTTTCAAAATTTTCTCACACAAATCTCCACTTTTTGTTCCGGCATTAAGTATAATAGTCGGAATTGTTTGAGAGTGTTTTATTACTTGTTCAGTGTCCAACTCGTTTAGCTCTTTTTGCCGTCGTCTCGGACCCTCCTCATGTGCAAAACGCGCAAACATCAACGTGTTTATAAATTACCTTTTTGGTTTCTACCCGCCGTTTGTTTGAATAGACGACTTCCGGTCTCTGGAGTCGGAACGTCGCGGAACTTTATTTACCGCATCCTAGAGATGTCTTTTCATTTTTCAAGCGGTTTTTTCATCGGATGCACAATGATTTTTCTGCATAGACCAAAGTGTATTTTACATTTGATAACGAAATCTATGATAAGATTAGCAAGCAATATTATCGAACTTCTGTCGCGACTTTTACAATTATACGACGCTTCACCGGTTTGAGTCAATTTCCTCTTGTAAAAAACAGGAAATTATTGTAAAAATGCCTGAATATGAACGATTAGACGGAAATACAGGGTGGTGAGTAATAAAATTAAGATTTAAACAATAAAATTCAAATCAAAATTAAAATCTTATAGCTCGGCTAGTTGGAGGGCCTTCACTCCTTTGGAAAAAAAATTAACAATTTTGACAGTAATTTTGGGAATTGTTATTTTTGCTCTAGCTTTAGCTCTAGCCGCGCATAAATGTCACGGTAAGTGATATTTTTAGTTTTACTTATCTTTATGTTTATTCTGATAAGATAAAAATAATATAAAACATTTTAGAACCTGAACCTATAACGACCATTAAGCCTACACCTGCAAGTTCGAGTTCGTCTAGTTCTACAAGCTCTATTAAGCCAACGTCTTCCTCCACTACTAAATCCAGTTCTGTAACACCAACTCCTACAAAAAGCACAAATTCTACGTCCACTTCTGTAACACCAACTCCCACAAAAAGCACAAATTCTACGTCCACTTCTGTAACACCAACT